CCCTTTTCCCCTTATTTTTTTGGGATGGCCCCCCCTCGAAAGCCATTTTTTTTCGCATGCCCCCCCCCAAATCCCACCAGCCCCCCCTACCTCATACAAAATGAACGGTCCCTAAGTAATAGGTGGTTTAGTGGTTCCAAACTGCCAACAAAAGGTATCAAAACAGTTTGCATTTTTTTAAATTTCATCTAGTGCTTTCTCAAAGTTATGGAGCCATAAATGCATTTATAAGCAAAAAGAATGCTTCATTCATAACCACTACATGTATTGTCTCATTTGATGAGTAACAGCTAAAAACTGAGGGGAACTTTTTACAAAATTTACCTTCAGCGAGAGATGGGGTCTTACTTGAATGCGGAAGCTTAATGCTGTGTATCCTCCCGTATAGCTGTTTTTTTGTTTTATTTTCATACAGAATGTTGTTGATATAACCATAAGCCCTATCAAAAAACAGCTTGATCTTCATGTCGGCAGTGATGCTGGCCTGAAGGAGGATTGCAAGGTTATTTTTGTTGTTCTTGTTGTTGTTGTTCACATGTTTGGGTTGCCTGTACACTTCTTATCTTTCATGAGTTATTTTATTTACACTTTGAAAGTAACAAGAGTGCAGTGTTAAAACAATGAATAAATAATTCCCCCTAGGATTTAGAGAACAGAGATAGTGATTGCAGTCTCACGGAAACACCTTATTGGCTGCAGGGTGCAAAAAGGGTCAGTATCATCAGTTAACTTTTCATCATAGTTTTTTGTAATAACCTTTGATTAATTGTATTTTTAGCTAGCAAGAATGCAGCATGTGTGTGTCATCATTATTTTATTTCCACATATTCTACCATTGCACATTGAACAAGGATTTTTTTTCCAAAAAAAGCTTCATTGCCACTCTAGGATCCAGGCAATAACAATGTATTTAATAACTGTTGTAGGGAAATGTAAAAGTAGAGTTATGACACTCAGATGAGTCATCAGATGACTTCACAAATGAATGCAAAAAATGTGCAAAGACCTTTTCAACCAGGTGTAATCTGTTAAAACCCATACGGCTTGGGAGGTGCTAGGGAAACCACAAAGAAGTGTGAGTAAATACCACATTCTAACACAATGAAAAGCGAAATTAAAGTATATTTAGTTTAAACATCAAAGTTTATTATTAAAAGACACAGGGCATTGGATGTTGAGTGTTGTAGGCCAGCTTTTTCTGGCCTCCACCTTAATTTTAAGGCCTGAAGGCCTGGAAAATTTTTTGGCCCTCCACCTTGGAAAGAAGTCTGCATCTGCCACTGAAAATTGTGTGACACCAATAAGATAATAATAAATGATATTCAGATAAAAAAAAAAAGTGATTATTATATATATATATTAATCAAATTTTGATTACTCTTCGTAACAAAAAATGGTTGCCCAAACTGTCTTAGTATTATTGCTCATTATGAAAGATTAAAAATTATTTTGTTATTTTACAGCCAGCGTCAATCAAAGAATAGACAGCCATTGACTGAAGTGTAAGTCTAACAGAAATTGTGTATATTTGATTCCACATGCAATAGTTTTATGTTGGCCAGGGTTGGGATAATGACCCAAAATATTCCTTAGCCAATTAAATAGTAAAAATGTTTGCATATTGGTAAATAATATACTGCGCCGTTTTCATGTCCCTTCCCTAGGATATGGAAGTCCATGAATGGATGGGTATTTGCAACAGGCACAATGCCCTAGAGTGACATGAGGTGGCCTATGGTTAGTGGGCTGGACTCCAATCCGAGCCATCTTGGTTCAAGCCCTATTCCTATGTACTTCATGCTACAGAAACTTGGACAAGCTCTTGCCTCATGGCCACTAGGATAGTACATGTATGCACACTTTACTTTACAGAATGTCCCTTTCACGGGGAAAGGAGGTGCTGATAGAGTATATTTTGACAAATGACACATATTTTTCCTCTGAAACTCGTAAGATCTGATCATTGTTTGTCTGAATTGGCCTAGCAGAGTTTGTTTTAATGTTTTACATTAACTTCCAGAAATGTGTTAGCTCACCAACAAGAAGTGAAAGAAGTAGAATATCTGCCTTTTGATGTGGATGGGGATTGTGCCTCCAAAGTTTCATGCATAAAAGCACAAATGATGAAAGCTGCAAAAGATGGAAGACCTTGGAAAAAGTGGGTAACATCATACAGGGGTATCTTGTTCCAAGAGATAATCATTGTATTTTTTCCAGCCTTAAATGAAAAATCAGCTGCCATGACTCAGCGTCTATATAATGCCAGTGTGTATTAATAATTGCCATCTGATATTTTTAATTTTTCATTGAATAAGACTGATTTATTAGCACCCAAAAGTATCAGTTATTGATCCAGCCACATGCTCTTGGGCTGGGCTCCTTTAATTTTTAAATAGATGTTGCATATATTTTATTATTATAATTATAATTTTATTTTATTATATGCGCCACCCCTGAATAAGCGCCGCTCTCAAATAAGCACCGCATTTGGGTTTAAAAAGTTATTAAGTGCTGCCCTCGAATAAGCGCCGCTGTCCTGATGTGGCACTTATTCAAGGGATTCTGTATAACTAAATAAAAAACACTACAAAGCAACTCAAAAACAGTATTAAAATGAACAATGAAAATCAAAGTTAAGTGACGACACCACTAGCAAAGCAATTCGAAAGGGCCGGGAAAAGACTAATGATGACAATCAAAACACACTTATGCTTGTTACATAAAAGTTTCTTACAGATAGAAAAATACTGTTAAATTCAAAGAAAAGATTTCTTTGTCGTGTTAAATTGTTAAATAAGCGCCGCCCTCGAATAAGTGCCACACTTCAGGGCAAAGCCCTGCTTGATGTTCTGAACTTTTTTAAGGTTAGTGAGGCCTTTGGCCTGGCTGTATACCTCTTCAATGTTTTGCCATTATGCATAGAGCTTTTCAAACATTCATATGGAAATTGGCTGGGCTTAGATGCTGAATTATTAAGGAAAAAAAAAAACTGTTCAGCTTTGAGCATAGCATCAGGTAGTGGAGGTTTGGCTTCACACGTGTGGGTGCCACTATGGCAAACTAAGACATGCAAGTTCTCAAACTCCCACACTTTTTTGGCAAAATAGGGAACAGCTATATTTATAACATAGCTAAAGCAAAGCGCGCTCTCTGATTGGTTAATTTAGCGTCTACTATTTGCCCATGGGTGTATGCTGCTGACGTGTGTGCTAATGTTTACAAAGCAAATCTTTTGACAGACATTGTTTCCAAAGTAATGGCCGACGTCCTTCTGCCAGAAATGCGAAATTGTCTTCACAGTTGTCTGAAGATGAAACTTTATTGAGTTACTGGTGTGCAGTCGGTTGTCATGAATGAATTTTTGCGCGCTTGTTTTCTCTTGTCATGCAAGACTACACAAACATTTTTTTGTGATGTAGCTCAATAAAAGGACTTCTGTTGTTCCAATGTCTCAATGTTATGTTATAAAACAAATGGTAAACGCCAT